AAGAAAGAAAGGAAGGAAGGAAGGAAGGAAGGAAGGAAGGAAGGAAGGAAGGAAGGAAGGAAGGAAGGACAGGCTTATCTTTCCTTGTGGAGGCAACCTGTTTAATCAGCTCTCAAAAGTAAACTTTTTACCACATTCATAAATTGAAGGAGCATTGAAATAGCCATATACGGAGCTTACCTGTTGTGATTTTCAGATCTGTAACAGGCAACATTCTTACCTGAACTATTAGCTTGAATGTTAAACCCCCTTTAAATGCTGTTCCTGCTGTTAGATACTTTAAGTCCCCGGACACAAAGAGAAGCCTTTTGACACCAGAGCATTTCTCAGAATAATCGCCAGATTCTCCCCTAGGGTTTAAGGATGGCCTTCAAGATTTCTCCTGGGCTTCTCGTCCTTCTGCTGTTTCTCCCACCGACATCCTGTCTCCCGCTGGCCCAGCTTCTGCCGATCAATGACGTGGGTTGGGAGCCGGTGTGGCTGAGCCCCTCCACCTGGAGACACCCCTCTTTGGGACCGCTGTCCAGCTCCGGGGAAGGGATCTTCCCAGAATCAAGATCTCCCAGATCCTGTCCACCCACAGGGGACCGATCCCAGCCGCAGAGAGCGCCAAGATCAGCCTTCTCCAACAAAAGACGAGACGGCCGGCCAAATTCCTTAGACTTAACTTTCCACCTTCTCCGAGGGTTCCTACAAATGGCTCGAGAAGAAAAAATGGTTCAGCAGGCACGGAATAATAAAATACTGCTGCATAATTTAGGCAAATGAGGGAGGGCGGGGGGGCAGGGCAGGGGGGGCAGAGCAGGGGGGGCTTGTCAGTTACCTGTAGTCCAATGGATCATTCATTTTACAACTGTGTATTTTTGTAGAGAGCCGTGTATCGTTTTTGCACAGGTAGTCCTCAAACCAACGATCACAGTCGGGGCCGACATTCCGATCGTTGAGCGGAAGGCCTTGTGAATGAGCCGTGCCGGATTTTACGAACCTCTTCTTCAGTAAATCCCTGCAGTTGCTAAGTGAACCCCTGCCGTTGTTAAGTGAATCTTGGGGTCGTGAAGCCAAACCGGCTTCTTCTATTAGCATTGCTTGTCGGAAGGTTGCAAAAGGGGATCACACGAACCCGGGTCTCTGTAGGCTAATTGCCAAGGACCTGAATGTGGGCCACGGGGCCACAAGGATGCGGTGATGGCTGCTTAAGGGTGAGGAGGGGTGGTAAGTCGCTTTCTTCGGCGCTGGTTGTAAAGTCGAAGAAATCCCTAAGTCAGTGTTTCTCAACCTTGTCAACTTGAAGTCTGGACTTCAATTCGCGAATGCTGGCTGGGGAATTCTGGGAATTGAAGTCCAGACATCTTCAAGTTGACAAGGTTGAGAAACACTGCCCTAAGTGAACAGTTGTAAGTGGAGGACTATCGATAGAGGTTACAATGTCTGGTCTTGATTCAGAGAAATGCTTCTCAACTGTGGCAGCTTGAAGACGAGTGGACCTCAGCTCCTAGAAACGCTCAGGCGGGGACGAAGGGAGGGAAGGGATTTGCAGACCAGATTTGCTAAGTTGTTCATTTCTGTCGTACGTATTTCCTCCCCAATGGATTAAATCCAGCGCTTGCTTTAGGAATGGACGTGTAAAGTGTGCGCAATAAACTTTATTTGAATCGTTGTTGTTAGGTAAGCTCCCCGTTGGGAGAGCGAGTGCGTTCAGAGAAGCTTTGTGAGAGTTGTGTTGGAGAACACACAAACCAGCATACAGAGACACTGCAGTTTAAATAGGCTTTTTACTTTCATGGAAATAGAGATATCAGAGTCCATCAAACAGTCCAAGTCATACACGGATAAGACAGTCAGTCATCAACGTCTTTCAGGTAAGGGATAATCCGAATAACAGTCCAGTATCATACAGTCTGGTACTCAAAGTTTGCTAGCAGTTGCAAAACTTACAATAGCTCACGGCACTTTCTAA